CCCTGGTTTATCAACTTTCTGTTCAGACACTGGTGATTTTATAAAGTCTGAGTAGCAGCTGCAAGCTCTTGGATGTAAAGCAGATATGACCTTGCCAGTTCAAGGATAAAAAGGTAAATGTAATGCAGATATAATGAATTTGTCAGTTCAAGGATAGAAGGGAACATGTAAAGCCAATACAATTACTTAGTCAGTTCAAGGATACGATAGAAAATGTAAAGCGGATATAATGACCTTGTCAGTTCAAGGATACAAGGGAACATGTAAAGCCAATACAATTACTTAGTCAGTTCAAGGATACAATAGAAAATGTAAAGCGGATATAATGACCTTGTCAGTTCAAGGATACAAGGGAAAATGTAAAGCCGATATAATTACTTAGTCAGTTCAAGGATACAATGGAAAATATAAAGCGGATATAATGACTTTGTTAGTTCAAGTATACCAGGGAAAATGTAAAGCGGATATAATGACTTAGTCAGTTCAAGGATACAATGGAAAATGTAAGGCGGATACAATGAGCTTGTCAGTTCAAGGATACAAGAGAAAATGTAAAGCGGATATAATGACCTTGTCAGTTCAAGGATACAAGGGAAAATGTAAAGCGGATATAGTGACATTCGGCTTGTCAGGTCAAGGATACAAGGGTAAATGTTAATCGGATATAATGACCTTGTCAGTTCAAGGATAAAAGGGAAAATGTAAAGCGGATATAATGACCTTATCAGTTCAAAGATACAAGGAAAAATGTAAAGCGGATATAATGACCTTCTCAGTTGAAGGATACAAGGGTAAATTTAAAGCGGATATAATGACTTTGTCAATTCGAGGATACACGGGTAAATGTAAAGAGGATATAATGACTTTGTCAGTTCGGGGATACAATAGAAAATGTGAAGTGGATATAATGACCTTGTCAGTTCAAGGATACAAGGGAAAATGTAAAGCCGATATAATGACCTTGTCAGTTCAAAGACACAAGGGTAAATATAAAGCGGATATAATGACAATGTCAATTCAAGGATACAAGGATCCAGTTTTCTCATAATAGAAGGTATTGATGGGTGCTCCTTCAATTCTGTATTCTTTAATTTTTAAGGCCATTTTTCTCTATTCGTTATACTTTTTGCCCATTATTCTCTATTCTTTACATTTTAGCACCTCATTATTCTCTATTCTTTATTTTTTTGGTCCATTTTGCCCTATTCTTTATATTTTTTGCCCATTATTCTCTATTCTGTAAACCCCCCTCCACACCTTTAATATACACTTTAATACCTTCTGACAACAGCGTATGAAAAAATATTGTTTTCTGGCAAAGGAAATGAACAATCTCCAGCACAAAGATTAGATCTGTTCCGTTCTACACTACGTATCATCATATGTCATATTAAGTGAAGTATTGCGAAGCACGTATGGAACGGATATGTGCCGGACATTGGGAAAGGATATGGACTCTGTGCCGGACATTGGGAAATGATATGAATCAAAGATGATTAGATAGACAGCTACATTTCCGTGTTGTAACAGTTCATGAAAAATACAAATATTTTTATAAGTAGCATTTAAAGTTAGTCATAAACAAGGAAAGTCATTTATAAAAAATAGAGCATATGTGTGGTCATTGTTTATATAAAAAAAATACATAATGATCAACCAAGTTGTGGTGGCGTTTGGATACACTTTAATTTACTATCAAAGAATAATTTTCAGTTCACATGTATCAGGGTCTGAATATGAAGGGACAAAAAGGGGGGTGTGGCTCATCAATTGTGTAGTCTTTAACCTTAAGAAGGCCATTTTTTTGTATTCTTTATTTTTAAACCATTTGTCTCTGTTTTTTATTTGCCCATTACTCTTTTTTTATGTTATATAACCTAATTATTCTCAATTATTAAGTTTGTCCATAATTCGTTATTTTGTATAAGCCCCATACAGACCTTTTCATATTTGATTTCAACTATTATTTCTTCCTTTGTATCTTTTAAACAACAAAACAAGTGATAAACAGTAGTGATATATAACCTTTTTATAAGTGTATCCGAAATATAATTTGTGCAAAGGCGTTCTTTAAGAAATCTTCTAATCTCAAATGATTCTAAAGGAATGTCGTCCTTTTAACAGACAAAATAGAGGTTTACAGAATAGAGATTAATGGGCCAAGATTAGAGAAAAATGCGTACCTGTAAAGTGCGAAACGAAATAGAAACGGAACGGAACAGAACAAAACAAAACAAAACGAAATAGCCTAAAACGAAACGAAATACAGCAAAACGAAGCAAAATGAAACGAAATAAATATATTTTTTTACAATTTCAACTTAAATGTCCCCACCTAATGCCTTTATATGTACCAATATAGGGAAAGACAGTGTGAACTGATATATATGGGTCCGAAAAGTGGGATTATCGGGATATGATTTAGTGGTTAGAATGTTTTTGTGTGAACGGTTTTTGTGTGAGCAGGTTTACATTCTGCTTATATTTACATGTAAAGAACTTTACACATCGTAATGTTGGTTTATTTGTTGTCGTGAACATGAAACATTTGCTCCCGGGCTGACGTTTAGCCGCGAGGCACCCATATCGAACGAAAGCATTAACAATAGCTCATTGTTTACGCTTTATTTTGCTGTCAGGTCTAGGTATAGATGTGTAAACCTAGGATGGTTACGAGTGATGGCTGTCTTCTTGGGTGAACTGGGAGGGTTGGGGGATAACTACAGTTTGTTTATGTGAGGAAAATTCTGGACATTTTTGTGAGTTTCAAGAAATGAGATGCTATCCTCAGTGAGATCAACTTCTCCGCTATCCACGCGATAATAAGCAGAAATTACTAAAATTCCGAAAAATAAAGCCCATTGAAGTGGAATTTATCTTGTGTTTAAATCTCCTTTCCTCCGCCGAGCGTTCGTACACTTAGTAATCTTATTGTATATAGCTATAGTACAGTCTGCTGGTGAAGATAACTGCAGTTTAGAAACATTTGAGTAGCCATAATCAACATTTTGTAACCATTTAACTGCATAAATTTCTTTGCATCTCAATGAAAGTTCATGCTGCGTTTCTGTCATATATGATATACAGCATTTAGCAACGTGTCGACCACACTAACACACTTGTCAGTGATATTTTTCAATAAGGCAATAACGAGCAGGTCATCTATACATATTCCATAGTCGATACAACCTAGGAGTTCAGTAAGATAGTAACCTTATAAGTGGGTCTTCTTTTCTTTTTTGGAACAGACTGCTAAATACGAGTATAACTTTGTAGAAAAGATAGATGCACCAGATAAGTTTTATGAGAATTCTTCAAATCAGAAAACAAGAATGATGTAAACATACGTGATATGCACCTTTATAAATATATATATATATACGTTTTGCGGATATATTTGTTATGCAATTTGTTTAGACTTTTTTTCGTATATATCCTGTCTATTTGTATTACGATTTTAACATTGGTACGGATATTTCATTATGCATTACCTATACTTTAATTCTCAATATTTTGGAGGTGAAATCGTAGATTTTTTTATAAGGTCAAATTCAATTATTTATCTTCATTCTGTGTTTAATTTGGGTGCAACGGTACGTTAATGTATATTCCTGAGTGGAAGGGCAAAAAGGAGGGGGATTATAAGTGGCACGATCATATCTATTGATGTCCCAGGTAAATCCGCAAATGATAAAAAAAAACTTCCCCAACGTTTAGCCCAAAACAATTAATTTTCAATAATATTAGGATTGAAATAGTTTGCTTAAAAATCGGCTTTTAAGCCAATCTCATTTAATGAAGGTTTTTCCTTAATCACGGAGAGTGGGGTCGATCTAAACATGGGATTTTTGGATACAGTATTGCAGCTGGGAAAACACCCAAATTTCATAAATTAAAACCTTGAGAAAAAATCACGACACTTAATATGTTTTCGATGGCAAAATCATGACCCATTCATAGTTTTCTCAGTAATCACATATTATACAATATAAATAAATAGATGTGGTATGAGTGCCAATGAGACACCTCTCCGTCCAAGTACAAGTTTTGATATCTTAACTTTGAATTAAAACTATAAAACAGCATTTAAACAAAAATCTTTTATATCATACGGAGGATGAAAATTACTGACCTATTGATATTTGACCTAAGTGAAATTCAGTGTATGCCATTAATATAATTTAAGTATGAAAAGGGGAACCATTCCAGAGGCACGTCTGTGTATACCTTCATTTAGTCATAGAACCCCAAATCTAGACTGAGACCCACGTGCGTGTCCTCAATATCCCAGTTCTGAAATATAGTCCCATTTATATTATTTATTTCAGGTTTACCACCCCTTTTTCTTTCTAGGGTAATATTGTACGGTAAAAACTTTTTTATTATTCAAAACGACGTGTGAAAACTTAACACTTGGGCAGTAAGCTCCGGTATGTACGACCATCCCCCCACCCCCTGAAAATAAACGTTCGCCCCTCTGTCGGTTTCAATTGATTTGTTCCAACTAAAACAATGAAATTCAGATGTATGCAAACTTTGCAACACGCAAACATATTGTATTATAAGACATTGGCAGAGATTTAAGTTGAAATTATAAAATAAATATTTATTTCGTTTCATTTCGTTTCGTTTTGCTGTATTTCGTTTCGTTTTGCGCTATTTCGTTTCGTTTTGTTTTGTTTGGTTCCGTTCCGTTTCTATTTCGTTTCGCACTTTACAGGTACCCGAGAAAAATAGGTGAAAATAAAAGAACAGAGAAAAATGATTCCAAAAAAATAAGAATAGAGAATATTTAATTGGATGCTAAAATGTAAGGAATGGAGAACAATGGGCAAAATATACAAAGAATAGAGAAAAATTACCTTAAAATTAAAATAAATTACAGAAAAGAAAACTTACAGAAATTACAGAAAAGAAATAAACTAAAAGGTAAACGTTTGCCTTAGTTCTCTACAAATAAGTATACAAAAAAATAAATATGATGTTTGATCAAATACTTACATTTTGTATTAATTCAGACTGTTTTAGTTAGTGCTTTCAAATTCCTCTAAATTTGAACTAAATGTTCAAATACCGTTTCGAATGTACGTGTTAAGTAGGTTTAAAACCATTAACTTCGCCCCACGGTTGACTTGTGTTTGAATATATGCAATCATAGTTCCCTGCATTGATTTCTATGCTTTGAATGTTTGCACAAAGTGAATTGAACGCATAAAAAAACAATATTGATCAATTTTACATGAAGTATAAACGACGACTGAGATCTCGTTTTAAACTGTGTAATACACATCAATTAATGTACGTATAGAGAATCATTCATCCGCGGTATCAGCAGAGAATCTACTAAAAATAATTTAAAATTAATAATTGACAATGCTTTAGGAGGAATCGATTTTACCTGAAGAACACACCACAAATCTTATAGTGGAGATATCCTATATGATGGTCTGTATGCGGGTCCTTCATTTCTGTATTCTTTATTTTTTTATGCCGTTTTTCTCTATTCTTTTTTTTTTTGTCCATTTTTCTCTATTCAATATATGTTTTGCCCTATATTCTCTATCCTGTAAACCCCCATCCACACCCTCCTATATGTTTTGCGATCAAAATGCAAAATATTGACATGAAAACACTTTTAATACCTCCTACTACTATATAAAAGCTGGAGATATCAAGGGTACACTCGTAACTTATAACCTCACAAGTTAAATAGAAACTAGCAAAGCCATGCATGCAAAAAATGAAAATGCAAACAATACAAAACTAAGAAAAATAAGGTATAATTGCCAATGAGACAACTCTCCACCAGAGACCAAATGACATAGAAGTTAACAATTATAGGTCACGGTACGGCCTTCAACAATGAGCAAAACCCATACCGCATAGTCAGCTATAAAAGTTTCCGGAATGACAAATGTAAAACAATTCAAACGAGAAAACTAACGGCCTAATTTATGTACAAAATAAAGAACGAAATACAAATATGATATACAGCAACAAACGACAACCACTGAATTACAGGCTCCTGACTTGAGACAGGCACATACAGAATGTGGCGGATTACTCACAGTTACTGACAGCTAGTTCAAAGCCAATAACAACTAATAAAACAAGAGTGCACACGCTGAAATGTCGCGCCTGCTTTACTGACCATTGCTTTTATGTAGAAAGTCTTGAAGATAAAGGTTTTACTACAAGTATCACATAAACTTTACATTATCAAATATCCATGGCAATGAGGTCAAGGTCAGATAATAATGACTATGTCAGACAGACATTTACACAATTATTATTTCATACACCAAATATAGTTGACCTATTGCTTATGGTAATTGAAAAACAGACCAAAGTTTAGTTTAAACATATTTTATTTGCTAAATATCAGCAAAATGGATGAGACACAAGTAAATCATACTTATGAAGTCTTCTCCATATTACAATACAAGTATATATACAATAATAACATTATGAGCATGCATGTAAAGCTAACAAATTCATTAAATATTATACGAACTATAAATAAAAAGAAAAAAAGAACATTAAGAATGGAAAAGGAGGGGGAAAAAAAGAAGCAAATTATATTTTCTGTGATGTTGACTTAGGTTTGATGGTGATGATCATCCGTGCCGGTAGCAATAATATTTTATGAAGGTACTAGAAATCTGTTAGACCTTTTAATAAAATCTTGAACATGTTTGAAAATTAGGAGATTTTGTTCATTCGAAAGTTCAAGATCTCCGCAAGTTAATAGTTTAGTATCAATAATAAAGTTTTCAGTAAGCCAATTAAGATTGTTAAGTAAAATTTCTCTACATGTAGTGTATTTTGGGCAAACTAAAAGAAAATGATGAACATCCTCAATATCAGCGGCTCTTTTCACAAAAAATCTTAAGAGTAAAAATACTCGTAAGTCATACACATTTCAGTATAACTTACGATCAATTTTAATCGTAAGATTTTTTGTGAAAAGAGTCGCAGACCCACACTGACACGAAGGATCCAGTATAATGTTAGCTTTGAAAAGGTCAGAGTTCAAAAATGAAGCGGAACATCGCAATTGAGTTAAAATAATATTCAGTTTCCTCGGACCGTACATATAATACGGCGCAACTCTTCTCTGAACACTTTCATTTTTCAATTCTCTCTTAAATTTAGATATAGAGTCGGTGTTTCGAATTTTTAAGTCAAGCTTATTCCATTCTCGTATTGTGGATGGAATAAAAGATTCAGTGGTAAGGGAAAGTCTACAAAATGGAACAATGATATTTTGACCGTTTCGCAACGGATAGTTGGTTGTACTTTGTATACATGGGGGGACAAGATTACACAGGTACTCAGGTGCATGTTTTTTATTTATATTATAAAACATCTGTAATTTTCTTCTTCTTCGTCTTTCATATAAAGATTCCCAGCCAACCTCAGAGTACAGAGTATCAGTTTTAGTGAAGATTGGTAGACCTGTTACAATTCTTGCGGCTTCCAATTGCAAATTTTCTAATTTATTTGAATAACATATCCCACAATTATCCCACACTTCCGTGGCATATTCAAAAATGGGTCTAATAAAAACTAGATAAAGTTTTTCTAAATTATTACGAGACAGTCGATATTTAAGTTTACGCAGAACATTAAGGTGTTTCTTTACACTTGTAATTATACTTTCAATATGATTATTCCATTTTGCGTCACAACTAAAGGTAACTCCCAGGTGCTTATGCGATGTATTTATATTTATAGGGATAGTTTTATCATTTAGGGAAAAGTTGAGATCTGGTAACAGACCAAAACACAAAAACTTAACATTGACCAATGAACCATGAAATTGAGGTAAAGGTTAGCTTATACTGCCAGACAGACACGTACTCCTTACAATCATTCCATACACCAAATATAGTTAACCTACTGCTTATAGTATTTGAAAAAAACAGAACTATGAAAATGAGATCAAGGTCAGATGATACCTACCAGGCAGACATGTATTTGAGAAACGAACCTAATCATGTAACTTTAACCTTGATCACTGATCCATGAAATGAAGTCGAGGTCAGGTAAACTTTGTCTGACGAACATGTAGACGTTGCAAGGAACCCATATACCAAATATAGTTATCATATTACTCACAATAAATGAGAAATTCACACTGGGAACAGTATATCTAACAATATATATGTTCCTGATTCACATGAAAAAAAAACCTGTTTTTTTTTAAGCAGTCGCTGAACCATGAAAATGAGGTCAAGGACAATGGACATATGACAGACGGGAACTTCGTAACATAAGCTATCTGCATACAAGGTATGGAGCATCCAGGTCTTCTACATTTTGGAATATAAAGCTTTATGCGAATAGTTTACATCCGCCGCCGACGCCGGATAGTAATACCTGAGTCTCGCGTACTGCGACTTTCTTCGCAGGCGAGACAAAAATCATATATCTACGACTAAAACAAGTCTTCAAAACACTACATAGAAATTAGAAAACTAAAGACTGAGCAACAAGAACCCCGCCAATTGTACAAGCTTTTAGTGAGTTTACACCAGCATTATTACAACTACGTGTAATGTAAATTTTCTTAACAAAATATACAAATAAATCTTTTGCTACAAAATGTTTAATAACATCATTTAGTTGTTTAGATGTTACAAAATGGATTGATAATTGGTGGTTTGACAGTCAGTGATGGAACCGAGATCGATCCAACGACCGCCTACTGTCGATAGTATAACACACACTTCCACTGGGCATGTCTAGGTTTAATAGTCAGTGGCAAATATTACATGCAAATTCAGGAAAATAAGACTGGTATGTCATATGACTAAATGTACATGTATGCGACGTCTTGTACTAGTAGTGATCTGTGCACACTATTCCATAAGGTGTCAGTAAGAACCAGATCCCTAGTAATACTCTGGGCCGACAATAATTTGCATATAATTTTAAATGCTGCGTTATTTACAATGATGTGTCCGACAAACATCAAATTCAAAATATGTAGTTTGACGCAACAGTGATTGAACTAACGACCTTCAACACACGATACACCCTACCACGAGACAACCACGATAGACTGATACCCGGTCGTTATGCATGGACAAGTTTGTATATTTCGAAGGCATACTGAATATTTCACGGAGGGGACCAACCTACAACCACAGTGGTATTGACATGTATAGGTTTAATGTATTGGTCAAGCCTCAATGTTCCCAAGTTAAAGCATGTTTACTGCATTGTACATTTTGTAAAAGCACCTTACATATTGAAATTTATTAGAAAAAAATATAGATTTTGTTTAACATAAAATATAGCTTTTAATTTGCCGTAAAAATGAAATTCGTGTTTATACACAATGTACTTACCGAAATGTGGTCCCCATATTTGATAAGGTTGCATATTACCGACTCCAAATTAAACATATAAATACAATCAATATTTATAGAGGCATTCTGAAGGGAAACTGGTATACCTGACATTATAACGGTTTAAATTATCAAAATGTTTGAACAAACTGATAAGATTATTTTTAGATCTTCTATGCGGAAACTACTTATAAAGGTTTGGGTTTTTATTTATTAATTTTGTTGTCCAAAAAATACGCGATTTAAATACTTGTATTGTCCTAATTTATATTTAAAAACCTATCCAAAATCTATCTCGCCTGCCGTTTCATCAGTGCATTGCGTCTTGTTAAGTTTTTTTTATCTTATGAATAATAACTAAAGATACATTTTAAGTTGTAACTAATTACAAAGGTTATGGACTAATCTTCTATAGATAGTTTTGAGATATACACAAATTAAACGAAAATAAATTTATTTACATACAATAGAAGAGAGAGAGAATGCAAAATGAAATTTCCATGTCCGCACATGTGACGTAATGGACCCATGTCCGTACATGACGTAATGGACCCATGTCCGTACATGACGTAATGGACAAGTATTATAAAACAAAATACCAAAACAAAACAGATCAAAAAATAATTTACAACTTTTTATTTTCTAAATTATAAAACTGAACTAAAAGGAGTGGGTGGATGGTATGAGTTTTTCTCATTGATGAATGCGACCTATAATTGCTTTTATCTTCGTTATTTGAACTTCGGTGGATCGTTTTCTATTGGCAAAATCAATCATGCCACATCTCCTTTAAGATTTTTCTTTTTGAAGGGGATGAGGTACATGACAACTCGTACCTTTGCCAACTCGTGTATTTTTCGATTTTGACCTTTTTTTATCCCACATGTCATAGGGAGGCGTCAAAGCAAAAAAATAAAATAGCCT